GGACCAGCACTCTGCTGGTGACCATTTGCACGCGTGCAAGGTACAGTCCCAGCAGACCCATTATCAGATTAGGGGAAGGCAAACAAACTGAATTGAAACCATTCTTCAGAGTCCGACCTCTTCTTCCTGTGATGTCATGCTACAAATTGCCCGAGCTCTCTTCCCTCCTCTCCAGAAGAAGCCGGGCTGAGGAGAGGCTGCCAGGGTGCAGGACGTGAGGGCTGTGCTCTGCAGGAACAAACACGCTCTGGAATTTCATTTCTGCCCTCGCAAGCAGCTTGCTTCCCGCCCCGTGGGGCCAGCCAGCCAGCCTGCCAGCGCTCGGAGGAGCCGAAAAGCTGGTTTTACAGACAGAAGGCTGAGGGAGAAATGCAAACACAGACACTTTGTGGCGACCAGGAAATCGTTTTCTACAACGTACAGTCCCAGTAAATTTGGATGGACAAGACTTCACCACCACCATCTGCAGCCAGCAATAAGGCAGAAAGTTCTACAACAGCTTCAGCAAATCAAGGGGGGAAATGGAACTAAGTGAGCTTCAAGGCGACCTCATCTGCCACAAATGATACGGTTTCTGACTCTGGAAGAGTGGCTATGTGATTACAAATAGCACTTGGAAGAGAACAGTGACCTCCTGGTGATTACTACTGGAGATGTGCTCCCCTGCTGCAGAGCTTGTGCTTCTCCCCTGAAGCTGTGCAGTGCCACGAGCTTACCAAAGTTCACACTTCAAAACCATCTGCAAATTCTTCTGGAATTTGAAAAAAGTTGCAACAGAAACACCAGAGAAACCTCCAAATCGCAAGGATTTTAAATATACCATTATAATGGTAAGCTCTAATTGTTCCACTGAGGACTCCTTTAAATATACTTTATATGGCTGTGTCTTTAGCATGGTGTTTGTTCTCGGCCTCATCGCAAACTGTGTTGCTATCTACATTTTTACTTGCACATTAAAAGTGCGAAACGAGACTACAACTTACATGCTTAATTTAGCAATATCAGATCTGCTTTTTGTGTTTACGTTACCCTTCAGGATCTATTACTTTATAGCAAGGAACTGGCCGTTCGGAGACATCCTTTGCAGGATTTCTGTCACCCTCTTTTATACGAACATGTATGGGAGCATTTTATTTCTGACTTGCATAAGCGTAGATCGCTTCTTAGCCATAGTCCACCCCTTCCGATCCAAGACTCTCCGAACCAAAAGGAATGCAAAGATTGTCTGTGTTGCAGTGTGGACAACCGTGCTGGCAGGCAGCACACCAGCCAGCTTTTTCCAGTCTACAAACCGCCGCAGCGATACTGAACAAAGAACCTGTTTTGAAAACTTTTCAGAGGACACGTGGAAAACCTACCTATCCCGGATCGTTATCTTCATTGAAATAGTTGGGTTTTTTATTCCGCTCATCTTGAACATGACCTGCTCTACTATGGTCTTACGGACTTTGAATAAACCGCTTACATTAAGCCGGAATAAATTAAGCAAGAAAAAGGTACTCAAAATGGTTTTTGTCCATTTGGTGATATTCTGCTTCTGCTTTGTGCCTTATAATGTGACATTAATACTTTACTCCCTTATGAGAACACAGACCTGGATTAATTGTTCAGTGGTAACTGCAGTCAGGACTATGTACCCTGTGACGCTGTGCATCGCTGTTTCAAACTGCTGTTTTGACCCTATAGTTTATTACTTTACATCAGATACAATTCAAAATTCAATTAAAAAGAACCGTTCAACTAGAACACAGGACATCAGATTCTCTGAAAGGCCAGTTTCAGAAAACTTCATTCAACACAGCCTTCAGACTATAAAAATGAAAATATTTGACAATGACTCTACCATATAAACTGTATTAAAAGACTACTTGGGACTAAACTGGAACTGGAAGCCTGCACATTTCTTCAGCTGTGGAAATATATTCTGATATGTAAATGTTACGCTTCTGTCGCATCATAAAAAGTTTATTATAAGACTGTAAAAGTATTAAGGATAATAGTACACAGAGCAAGTATCTTAAGAATTTACGTCAAATGTCTGTCCTGACAGGTTGTATGTTAGAAATGAACTTCTGCTTTCAGATTAGGTTAACCAAAGTCCAAAGGCTGTCTGTCAAGTCAAACACAAATTATAAAGTAAGTGGTTTTTTCTGAAGTGAAAAATTTTTTTAAATTACACCAGCTTCCAAGTTACTGAGGACAGAGGTGAAACTACCTGGTTTATACTCCAGGATCCAGTTGCTGAGGAAAACAGCAGTATTTATCATACCACTTCAGCTATTGTGCCTGCTCTGGAGTCTCCTCTGTCTTACTCCTCTCTCCTGTCCTCCCCCCTGGCACCTTCCTTTTTAGGGACCACTGTACTCTTAAGGGGCTTCAATTAATGGGCTACAAGAACTTAATTTCTCCCAGGTTTATCTGAGAAAACGTAAGATCCACAAGTCTTGCCCCCATAAAGCAATTAAATCCTCTGGTAGTTTAGGGCATCTGGAAAAAAGTCAGACAAACTGGTTTTTCTTCTCACCTCTGTCTCAGATGTCTGTGTAATTATAACAAAATAACCTGTGATGACTAAAGTTAGTGCTTTAGGTACAGTACCACTTTATTAAACTCTTTTGTGAGAAGTTCTTCAACTCAACATGACTTTTGAGCAAAATAACATCCTCCAAATAAGGTAATTCAATCTCAAAGTAGTAGTTTCTTAGAAAAATATGACCTTTGCTAACTAGAAATGAGCATGTGCATCAACTCAAATATTTCTTCTAGGAAACTACTTAGTGTCCCATTAAAAAAAAATCAAGACACACTCATTTTTAGGGTGAAACGTCCTCTTAAATATTTGTGTCCTAGAAATATTTTTAACATAAGCATTAAAAATTACAAGTGCTATTTTGTTGCAAATTTCATAAAGTATAAAAATAAATTACTTGGGGGTAAGTGCCAGCAAAATTAATCATGACTTTCTGAAAAGTCAAAGACATGTGAAAGGAGAAATCTACGTATATGACTGTTACAAACAGGCATATATAGACAAAAGTGCTTTAAAACATCCTGCTACGTGTTTCCCAACTATTAGAACACTGTGTACATTTTCCTCAAAATTAACTTAACATCGCTGTAAAAGTAAATAAACATCCAGAAGGTAAAAGTAAGCAGTAAGTGTTGGTTTTTCCTCCCCAAAAACAACTGAGTCAAGAATAAGCACTGAGTTAAAATTAATTTGCACTTTAGATGTGTGGCATTCAGTTGCAACACAGATCAGCATTAGGAAAAACGAGGCATTTTTACTTTGGGGCCATTTACAGAAGCACAAATCGATGTTGGGAGAAAACACATGTTGAGCTGTTGGAGCACACGAAGTGTTAGCTGATTGAGTTTACCTCTCTTGGCAAAGCTTTTGCTTAATTGTTATAAATCATCTGTATCTTGCCTACTACTACTGGAAAACTAAGTTACTTGAAGACTACTAGAAATGAATGCTGACTGAATTCTAAATTTAACAGCATTTTAAATCTTTATGTGCACAACTTACAAAAGGAAAATTCAAGTAGTGTGAGCTTAAGCTACCAAGGGGGCACGGATACAAATGTCTGTGTAATATCCAAAAATAGGCAGTTATCTTAGCTAGGAATCCTAAAGTCTTCTGATTCATGTCTGTATTCAGAAAAAAAACCAAAACCCCTAGCATGAGTAGAATTCTGTACATTTTCTATACGCCAGTGATAAATCCAGTCACTGACAAATCTGAAGTTCAAAAGCCAGACAGATGTGCATCTCTAGCATCTCAATGCATCTCTCTCTCCAAAGAGCCTGCTTAATATTAGACTGTCTCCAAAGGCTGTGAGACTAAAGCCCTTAATATCACTGCTGGGCTCTGTTTCTGAGCTACTGCTCTCCCTGAGCTTGGCAGAGCTGTTACTCGTTTTAGTGGCAACTTGGTCAGCAATGCCTCTGCATTACAGCAGCCAGCACGCTGGAGCCTCACCCTGCTAAAGAGAAGCTGCTGTTGTTGAGATTACGAAACTGCAGGGAAAAAAATGAATTGAAAAATCACCGACTTAAAAGCAGAACAAGCAGATGAGTCGCACGCATGCGTTACACCTCTTGAAACCAGACTTTCCTTGGTGTGTTAACTCAAGAGTCTGGGGAAGCATGAAGAGTAGGTCTTTCAGCAGAGCCTGCCTTGGACTCATTTTCTAGGACAGTAGTTTCTGCTTTTTATCATAGCATAGTGCAACACAGCACAGTACCTTTCCAACCAGTTAACAGCTTGGTATCTTTAAACTGTTTGATGAAGCTTTATATCCTTTATTATTACTTTATTTCTACGGAGGAAAAAATAAAGAAAAAAAAAATAAAAAAGAACAGTCAAAGAAGAAACATATGTAATTTACAGAATCTGACCATTACTTGAGAAATTCCCAATCTGACTGATTCAGGAGAGGGTGAGTGAACCTGTACCTCCCACAACAAGCTAGTATCATGCCAAGCTACCAGCTATTCAGCACTGGATGAGGTTTTCTCCACCATTTCCAGTTTTGCAACAAGATTATCCTGGAGAGCTGTGGATGGGGCAATGTCTTCCCTATTATATTCCTGAATAGCCAAGTTCCTTCCCTCTGCTCCCACATTCGATACAAACTCTTCTATCTCACTGGCAAGAGCTTATGCCAAAATTTAAATCTAGATGAGGGAATCATGCCTAGGCATCTCTATTAAAATAAGGCCTATATTGTCAGAACTCCTGAGCATCTGAATGTGTTGCATTCAGCACTTCCTAATACTACTTATTTTTAGCCATATGTCTAGGCAAGGGGGTTAGGAAATCAGTTTTAGGATCAAAACAAATTTGTTCTTTGTAGTCTGGGTTCTTAATCTACAGAGTGCAGATACTACACAGTTACCATAAAAATAAAAGCAGAGAAAATGTAGCTGATTACAAGCATTTTTAATCTAAACCAAGGCAGGCAGCAGTTGATAACTAGCTTATTAACCAAATTTCAAAAGAGAAGGAAAAAGAAACAAACTTTCTGTCAATACCATTACTTTCAAAACAAACCATTTCCCATTTTATACTCTTCATATTGAGCTTGACATTTTAATTTCTGGTTTTAAAATATTTGTGCCTATCTTTGACATTTAAAGAAATGTCAATAACAAGTCAAATACACCTTTTTATTTTTTCATCTGAAAGTGGTTTAAAAAGGTGACACTTCAGGCAGGTAAGAAATCCTTAACTGGAATTAACCTCCAAACTTTTATTTCTTAAGGAAGAAACCCCAGTCATAGAAATGTAAAGACTGGAAAAGAGCTTGAATATTGAGGCAGAAGATGAGTTGCTGTACTGGATCCGACCCCAAACATTCAGCTAATTTACAGTCCTGCCTCCAACAGCAGTCAAAGCTGGATGCCTAGGGAAGAAGACAGAAGGAGAAGGAGAGGCATACAAGACTTTCTCTTGTCCAAGTGCTGTCCCACGTCACCAGTTGTATCTCAGGACTTTCTGGGTCAGATGAGTTTCTAGGTTCAGCAACACTACATTTTTTTCTTAGGTGAGCTTGGCCTGTCTCCCTCTGAACTCATGTAAATTTTTTAACAACCACAGCATTCTGCAGGAAAAAGTTCACATTCTGTGTCTGTGAGGAGAAGGAGCAAAACAAAGCTCCTTTTGTTTCAAATCCACTAGTTTCTTTACTGTCCTCTCATTTCTTTTGGAAGAGGTAAGGAGCACCTGATTGCCATTCAGCCCTTCCACATCACTCCTAATGTCTAAAGTATACTGTTGCCTCTTACAAATGAGAAAGTAATTTTCATTTGCAATTTCAACCACCACTGTTGCCAAAGATGAGATTTTCAAAATTACATAAAGAATGCAGCTAAAACTACAATGAACCCAGCAAGGCTCACTTTGAAGCTTTTAACTTGAAAATGCCACTTGAGCACAGTATCCTCTAGCATTATTTATTCTTCCAAGTTATTTTCTAGGAGTTTTATCAATGAAGAGCATTTTTTTTCATACTTTTCCAGCAGTAAATGTAATATTATAAGGTTCTTGCACCTGGGCAGACCTGTAAATCCTGACAAGTTCCCTTTTTTGCTAGACTATTATAATTTATACCTCAGGGTTACTGGCATTTGAGCATCACTAACAAAATGAAAGAGGATACATATCAAAAGCTAAGGTAAAATGTAAATCAGAACTATTCTAAATCTGGAAGTTGTAAACACCTGGATTGCATTTGTTCTGCAAGTATCAGATTGCTCAAAAAATTGTAGAAAAGAACTGACAATCACCAAATTAGCACGTTTTCAGAACGTACTTAACAGAGATCATTTAGGGTGAATGCAAATTCAGAAAGTCACACTTTAAGTCTAATACTTCTGCAAGAAGCTGGATAGAGAAGTTTGTTCTAATCCTCTAATGCTGCTTTGACACTGAAGACTCACTGATTTATCACATCCACCCCCATCCAGTTCCTGTTATACAACTGTTTATAAAGCAAGCCCAGTTTTTCCCGTAAGAAAACTGAACTTATCACAAAATTAAAAAAACAAAAAGAACCTTGCACACATCATCTGGTCTTCCATAAAACCTATCATTTTGCTGGAAAACGACAATTCCAGAACTGAGAATTTAGATTTCTAATTATTTTTTCTATTTGACCAGCAGTCTGTCCCTGCTAGTTACAACAAAACTAAGAAGTTTTCTAGTTTAAACATGAGAATCAAACCACAACCAACCACAAGAGAAGGCCTCTAGCAAGAAGCTCTTATCTCTTTATAAAGAGATAAGAGATTACTTTTACTCGCAGAAAGCTTTCGGATTTGCCCTAACTCCACTTTTCTTAAACAGTGAGCTGCTTGCCTTAAAGGAAAAAATTATTAAATAACAACGCTAGTAACAGGAG